CAACTTGGGCCAGTGAAGCAACGTCCTCCACAACTAAACTGAAGAACAAAAGGACAGCAACTTGTCTGTTCCCCTTCCCCCAATTCCCTAGCGCTGTTCCCATCCCCCAATTCGCCAATAAAAATCTTTAAAAAAAAAATGAACAAGTATCTCAAATTATTCCTGAAGATTAGACAGCCAGAGTCCAATAAGGAACACCCAGTGAGCGGCCCCACACTTCATGACCAGCACAGCGGGCGGTGCTTGGGGTTCCAAAGCAAAGCCAATCAGGAAAGGACCCCCACCTGGGCCCTCCCCTTCACCCAGGCCAGACATGGGCAAAGGCTCCCTGCCTTCTCTTTCTGACACCATGGGCACAGACATCTACTTGATGTCTGTCCATTTGCGGAACTGAAGGAAGCTGCTGCCAGTTCGTACAGATTGACCAGGGCTGGAGGCGGTAATGTTTCCCAGAAACATTCTCAGAAATGCAGAGAAGTTACCATCTGCGCTGGCAGGTCAGCCTGCTTCAGACACCACGTGGGCAAGAGCCAGAGTGACAAGCAGGAGGAGAGCTTTCCAGACCCCCAGTGCAAGCCCCCCAGGAATCCTCACAGAGCCCATCACTGTCTTAGCATCAGTGTTCCCTAAAGGGGGCGGGAACACGTCGCCTGCAAGTAGCTGCTCTGACTGATGCAGACGCGGAAGCACAAGACAGACTCCAACAGAGAGAGTCTGGATCGGAACCACGAGGCCGTCTGGCTGGCGAAGGACAAGAGCCCAGCCTGAGCCTCGGCCTCTATCTGCGATGGAAGCCTGCAACACGCTGCACCAACACTTACAGACGGGGCGATGCGGGCAGGCGCTAACAAAAGCTAGGCGTGCCCTGGATAACGGTGTGCACGCGCCTCTCCACCCACACCCCTTGTGCACAAGTGCTTAGGGCACGAGGAGCATGCTGGGAGAGGGGGGACAGAGTGACTAATGCAAATTCCACGTCCACAAGTGGGTGTACATGCGTCTGCCCAGCCCACCCGCTGCACTGCCTGACACGGAGGACACATCTGACAAAGGGCATCATTCTCGTGTGAAACTCTGAGCTTCCGAATTAAAACTTAAACAATCTAGTAAGTAAGACCATTAAGAAAACGTGAAGTAGGGCCAGCGAGTGGCACGATGGTTAAGAGCTGGCTTGGGACGCCAGAGGGCCCCGGTTCAGATCCCACATATGAGGGCCAGTGACAGTGGGTTGCCATGGGCTACCGTGTGTAGCCAGCAGCCAGCGTGAGCGGCCAGCAGCTGCAGTGAGCGGCCGTCCAGAAGCCAGCGACTGACTGCCTCGCCCCGGAAGAGCGCAATGATGGTGCCAACTTGGGCCAGTGAAGCAACGTCCTCCACAACTAGACTGAAGAACAAAACAACAGCAACTTGTCTATTCCCCTTCCCCCAATTCCCCAAAAAAAATCTTTAAAAAAAAGAAAAAACGTGAGGTAGCCCACGTGAGCACCAGTCAGTAGCTCTCTAATCACTCCCAAGTGGCAGTTGCAGCAGGCCTCGGCACGTCATACCTGGGCTGGGGTGTCCGCTTCATTAATTGGCTGCCCATCAAATCGGAATCTAATCTGTCTCATCGACAAGCCCTGAAAAGGCAAACATCATTAAATATTTCCAGGTATACATTAATGCAAAAAAATCAAATATTCACACCAAATACCAAGTTCTGACGATGCAGATTGATGGTCCAGTTGATTATAAACCTCCGGTGACCTATAATCAATTTCACTGACAGCAACACCTTCCAGCCCCGCGGGCACCCACCCTCACTCCCTCACACTTCCCTCCAGAAGCCAAACGGGATTTCTATACTGCCGGCACCCCCACTTCCCGACAGGAACAGGTCCGGTGGCAAGGAGGAATGTGACAGGACTGCACAACACTGGGAAGCAGTTCCGATGGCTGTGGCCTTGAGAAAGTCCACTAAACTTTTCGCACCAACACTGGAAGCCAGAAAAAAAAGCCTCCAAAAAAGGAAAATGAATTTCAACCCAAAGATTTACATGCACCCAAATATTCAAGTGTGAAGGTTTAGAGAAAGTAAGTCAATTAGAAAACACAAATTGGTATTCGCAATATTGCCACAGGGATATGACAGTTTAGGGAACATAATCAATAATGTTGTAAAGATTTTGTAGGATGTCAGACGGGTACTGTACTTATTAGGGAGACCACTTCATAGACTGTGTAGATGCCTGACCACTGCGCTGTCCACCTGAAGCTGAAGCTGAATACTACTGGATGCCAACTATAATTTTATATATATATGGTCACAGGATATGGAGTACAGCATAGGGAATAGAGTCAATGGAATTGTAACAGCTATATATGATGTCAGATTATGAGGAGCAGATTGGGGGAGGGGAGTTATCACTTTGTGAGGGGTGAAATGTCTATTACATTGTTTTGTACACCTGAAACTAATAAAAAAATAACTAAATAAAGTCATTTTCAGACTGCAGTGTCTCAGAGATAAGCATTTTATACACCCTTTCTGAACAAGGGCCTGAAGATACACTCCATCAAAACAGGGTGAAAAGATTAATGCAGAAAATACACAGGAGTGAGTGAAAGGAGTTCCCAGAGTGACTCTAAGGAGGCTCCGGAATGACAACCATGGAGTCAGCCTCCAAACACCTGTCGGGTGGCTGGACAGGAGGGGCTCCAGGAAGGACGACGGGAGAAGCCAACGCGGGGGACGGGGGCCATGCTTTAATAATGGAGGACTCACGACCACCACCAGACCAGGAAAAACAAGACTCAGCGAGAGGAAGGTGTGAGCACAGCCCACGGTGTGACCAGTGGGCAACACTCCCAGGGTCACGACAGAACCAGTGGGTCCTACTTGCAATCTACTGCAAGGACGAGGGACGCAGCATCATGGGGCAGCATCAGAGCTGAACCCCGCCCTTCAAAGGTGAAAATAACCTCTGAAATCAGGAAACAAGAAAACCAAGAAAAAGGGAACGGAAGTGCAGGGCGGGGTTGGCGCCTGGGAGCAGGAGGGCCGAGGAGGGCAGGGCTTCTCTGCATCGTTTCCACAACAACCAAAGCCAAGGTCAGAGGCTGACCAGGGTGCGGACCTCCACAGCTTCCAGAGGGAGGCCACCTCCCTCTCAAAGGAACAGGGCTCCGTGGAAGAGGCCGGGCTAGGCCGGGCACCAGTAGCCCCACACCCCATCACCCAGAGCACTGTACGGGCAGAGCCACCAAGTGCAGGGGCCCAAAGGGACTGCAGGGGCTTCAGGACCAGAGGTGAGTCCAGGGGAGCACCGATGAGAACAAAAACAAAGCAGCCCACGGGACGAAGCAGAAACGTGCTGGAGCCACCAGCTCATAATGACACTACTAAAAATAATGGCAACTCAAAACGTTCGACCCACTGGTCACCGTGGGAGGACGCTAAGGAAAACTGGTGAACAAAGGGAAAGAATCAGGCGTTTCCTGGAAACCAAACTGCGAAGAGGACTGCACCCCACAGACGTGTTCAGGCTACCGTGCAAAGGAGGACTGGAACCACCATGGAGGAGGGAAGCCGTCACACACCGACCCCACTGCAGGCACCGCAGCCCCCCTCCACCCCCCAAGGACAGCACACGGGCTGCTAGAGCAACAGCTGATGGCACAACCCGGAGACACGGGGGCTGAAGACACGTGGCCCCCCCACCCCGGGCACACCGGCACTCCCGGGACCTCAGCACCCCGGACGGCCTGGACCCGGGTGATGCCAGGAGTGGCGCCCAGCCAGCACACCCACCTGCCTCTCACAGTAGGCCTTCATCAGCTTGCTCAGCGGGGTGTGTCTCTTGATTTTGAACTGGACCACAGAGCCGTCCTGCCCGGCCACCTTCAGGTTGATGTGGTCATTCTCTGTCTTCACGCCCTCCTGCAAAAGACGCAAAATGGGGTCTCAACACCAGGTCTCAAATAACCACAAGTCTTTAGGTGACTACTGGGCTTTTGTCAAGTCATTCAAAGCAACCTAATAAAATTCTCCAGCAATCCAGTCACTCATGCGATTGTTACACAGAATTTATTTCCAACTTGTATTTATCAGGCATCCACATGTAAGGAATGCAATCTACAGAGTTCAACGTTAACTCAAAGAAAAAAATCTGCTTAATAAATCTAGGAAAAAGCTGAAAACCCACGTCTGTCACAAGATGACGCCTGTGTAGCCAGAAGGCCATCACGCTGTGGCAGTCCTGCCCAGTCCAGCTTTGTACGCCGGCTCCCAGCTTCTGCTGCCCACGTGACGGCCGTGGGAGGGAAGCCAGTCCTCGCCCGTGCAGGTTCGCATCCCATCAGTCCCACTGAGCAGAGTGGGGACATTTTATCTTTCCTTGATCCCTGACACACGCATGCGCCTGAACAATCGCACGCGGGTTTCCTGTCTTCCAGAAACACACGTCCAGGAGTAGCGGCTTAGGGGCATTTCCTAGGAACTAGAGTGACACGCCCACATGTGACACAGCCACGAGTGTCCTGCAGGCACAGGGCCGCCTGTGAATGGCTGTTTGAGAATGAAGGAGTCACTTATTTTTTAACAAAATGATGAAGCTGACCCCGAGTCAATTTGCTAATGAAGTTCTGATGGGTCTCAAAGTGTATTCTGCACCTTCTCCAGTTGACACACATGCTCTTCTTTTTCCTGATGTGTCACTTGTTAGTGCAGCCCCGGAGTACCTGACCCCCACATCGGGGGCTCAGGGCCAGGGCGACAGAGGGGCTCCGCAGGGTCCCATACCTGCTCCCCTGCTCTCCCTCCTGGGACAGCTGGGACCCTTGTTCCCCTGTGTCCCCAGCCATCCTAACAGAAAGGGACTTGGGGGGCAGGCAGCCGCATCCTGTGTGCTGGCTTCAGGAGATCGCATATGGGGGCGCAGATCTATCCAGGGAGTTCGGAGTGGCCCCAGAAGAGGCCCCAGGAGGCGAGACCCCAGCAAGGAGCCAGAAGGAGGACATCCTGAGGTGACACATACTGGCCACACCGCTGCCTGCCTGGCCACTGGGCAGCGACACCAATCACACCCTCCCTCTCTGCAAAGTGGACTGCAGGGCGGAGAAGCCCGGCGGTGCAAGTGGGGGGTGCTCAGTCACCTGAGACCAAATGGGCTGGGGGTCCCCTCTAGGAGCACCCCCTTCATTCCCTAGAGACTAAGGATGCATTTGCTTTTTTTCCCAATACAAGTTTTATTTTAGAATTTTACATTTATGGAAAAGTTGCACAACAGAGGTGGAGATCGCTGCTGTCCGCCCCTCACTGCTTTCCCTTCTATGACCATCTCACACAGGCCCGCGGGATGTGTCACACCTAAGTGACCACCACTGCCACATCACTAGCAACAAAACTTCAAGCTTTTCTGCTATTTCACCAGTTTTTCCATTGTCCTTTTTCTGTTCCAGGATGCAATCCAGGGGACCACATTGCACTTAGATAGGATTTTTTTTCAATTTTTTCATTATGTTAAAATATACATAATGTAAAATTTACCATTTTAACCCTTTTTACTGGCATTAAGTACATTCACATTGTGCGACCATCAACACATGGCATCCATCTCCAGAAGGCTTTCCATCTTCTAACACTGACACTCTGTCGCCATTAAACACTAACTTCCCTTCTCCAGCCCCTGGCACCTCCATCCTACTTTCTGTCTCTCTCATTTTGACTATTCTAGGAATCTCACATACGTGGATTATACAGTTTTTGTCTTTCTGTCTCTGGTTTATTTCGTGTAGCATAATGTCCCCCATGGTCATCCATGTCGTAGCCTGTGTCAGAAGGTCCTTCCTTTCTCAGGCTGAATAACACTCCATTGTATGGTTAGGCCACTATGCTTATCTGTCCATCCATCGATGGTCACCTGGGTAGCTTCCACATTTTAGCTCTTGTGAATAATGCTGCAGTGATCATGGGGGTGCAAATATCTTGAGACCCTGCTTTCAGTTATTTGGGGTACATACCCAGAAGTGGCAATGCTGAGTCAGATAGTAAATCTTTTTAATTTTTTTGAGGAACTGCCATACTGTTTTTCACAGCTGCTGCACTATTTTACATTCCCACCAACAATGCACAAGGGTCCCCTTGTCCCTATGTCCTGGCCAACACTTGTTGTTTTCTGTTTTTTGATAGTGGCCATCCTGACGGATGTGAAGTCTCGATTGGCATTTCCTCAGCGACTGGTAATGGTGAGCATCTTCTCATGTCCTTATTGGCCATTTGTGTGTCTTCTTTTGAGAAATGTCTGCTTAAGTCCTTTGCCCATTTTTGAATGGGGTTGTTTTTTAGTTGATGAGTTTTAGGAGTTCTTTATATATTCTAGATATTAATCCCTTATCAAGGACACGATTTGCAAATGTCTTCTCCCTTCTGTAGGCTGCCTTTTCACTCTGCTGCTCATGTCCTTTGATGCACAAAATTTTTTAATTTTCATGAAGTCCAGTTTGTCTAATTTTTCTCGTATTACCTGTGTCTTTGGTGTCACCGCCAAGAAATAATTGCCAAGTCCAAAGTCATGAAGATTTTGTCCTGTTTTCGCCTAAGAGTATTATTGGTTTAGGGCTTACATTTAGGTCCTTGATCCCTTTTGAGTTAATTTTTGACATGGTATTAAGAATGATCCAACTTCATTCTTTCTCACGTGGACAGAGGATGCATTTGCTTTTATTATGAAAAGATATAGAAATATTCAAACAAATAGGGTACAGGGAACAGAACACAAAACAAACAGAAACACAGGGCAGAGGGCCCCCAGGGACAAAGGCAGTGCCAACTCCCTCAGGGGAGTAGTGCAGCCAGAAAAGGCCCCAAGCACCTTCCCCCTCTAACAGAGGAACACCCAGAACAAATGGCCTGTCCCAAACCCCCCGCGAATTACAAATAAACAAGGAGTAAAAGAAAAAACCAAAACCCTAAAGACAACGACCACAATTCCCTGCGGTCTGAGCTCTGCCTCTGCCATCGGGGGAGAGAAGCTGCAGTCCCAGCTGACCCTCAAGGTCGTCCTTCCGCCAGCACGATGGTCTGGGAGCACACCTTCTACCATCCTCGCCAGCACGGAGCAGAGTGCTCCCAGCACCCACCGAGGGCACGGCAAACCGGTTAGTTGTCTTGGACACAATTAAAACACGTTTATTCAACTCAAAGGACCATGGAAGTGGACCACGTGGGAGAGCTAAGTTTAAACACACTGAAGAAATGAGTATCACGAGGAAGCCGCCCAGAAAAACAAAGGCATTTCTATTTGGTAGAACAAACGACCTGGGCTGGGAGGAGTGGTAAAAAAGGCTCCGTTAGAACCAAAATGCACAAAGCCAAGGTGGCTCCAACCACATCTGGAGAGAGGTGGTTTGCGTGGGGTGGGACCTTTTCTCAAAGCAGGGCAGGAGGGCACAGGATTCCACAGCCTCCTGTGCTGGGCTCCAGTCTCGGCTGCAGAGGCTGCCATCTCAGTTCCAGGCTGGTATCAGCGGAAGCCTGTGTGCACGGCATTCCACTCAACAGCAGATCTTCCTCTTAGTCAAAAAAAAAAAAAAAACCAGACCCTAACAGTGCAGACGAAAAGCTTCCGAAACCTTAAAGAGTAGTAAAACTCAAGTGCCCCCTTACCTTAGGAAGGACTGGAGCTAACGCCTCGGAGGCGCGCACACTAGAGGGCGCCCTAGGGACGGGTGGGCGCACACTGGGGGACAGCGACGGGGACGGTGGGCGCACACTGGGGGACAGCGACGGGGACGGTGGGCGCACAGCCGGGGACAGCGACGGGGACAGTGGGCGCACAGCCGGGGACAGTGGGCGCACAGCCGGGGACAGCGACGAGGAGGGTGGGCGCACAGCCGGGGACAGCGACAGGGACGGTGGGCGCACAGCGGAGGACGCGGCAGGACGGCGCGGCTGTCCGGTTAAGGACGGCAACGCGCGCAGACAGGCCAGGCCTCTCGGGGCCCCTCGGGGGTGGCCTGCAGTGAGGACTGAGGACCGGGCCTCAGCAGACAGCGCCGGGCCGATCCGAGGACGTGGGTCCAGGCGCGAGCGGCGTATTAGGGGTGAGCCCCCACGACGAAGGAGGTCCCGGGGAGGGATGGCCCGGGGAGGGGTGGCCGCGGGTGACAGAGGAGAGCGTTTCTCCACGAAGGTGGTGGCCGCGTCCGAGATCCCCGCAACCGGGATCTGAGCGAGAAGGGGGGAGGCTTCCCGGTGGGAGAGGGGGTATGTCGGTGGAGGGTACCCCGGCGGGGGACTCCACGGAAGATGGGGTCTGGATGCGGCAGGGGTCCAGGAGACAGTGTGCTCCGGCGGGAAAGGCGCAGCCGTGGCTGGGGATCCGGGCGAGGAGGGCCCCGCTCCAGGTCCTAGGTTAGCCCTGGTCGGGGTTCCCCGTGGGGCAGGGCGGAGCCTGATCAGGGGAAGGGCCCGGGCAGTCCCGCAGCGCGGGGAAGGCGGAGCGGGGCTCGGAAGGGCGGAGCTGCGGGGCGAGGGCGGGGCGCGGGCAGTTGGGGAGGAGCCTGGGCGGAGGGCGGGGCGCGGCCTGGGCCGGGAGACCCGACGCTGGGAGGTCCCTCCAGCGCCGCCGTCCCCAGCCCGAGGCAGAGCCGGGCCGCGGAGGGAGCCCGGCGCGCGGCGGGGGCGGTCGGGGGCGACGCTGGCGGCGGTCGACCCCGGGGGCCGTCCGGTGCCCACCGGCTCTTACCTTGGGCTTCTCCTCGGACATGGTTGCGCACGGCGGCGGGGCGGCGACGGGGAATTAGGCAGCGCCGGAGCCGGCAAGTCACGCTCTCGGCCCGCCGCTCTCCCGCCGCAAATGCTCGCGGGGCCGCGCTTTGCCCCCCAAATCCCGCAGCGTCGGTTGGCCGGGGCGAGGTCACGTGGTGGGCGCGCGTGCACGACGCGCGCGCCCGGGGCGTCGAGCGCGCGCCCGCGGGACCGAGGTTCCTGGCGGTTAGGAATGCGTCATGGGGCGGGGCCTCGCGCGATCCCAGCGGTCCCCACTCCCGCGGACGCTCAGGGCTCCGGGCTCGGGGGGGCGCGCCGGGACCTCGGGGGAGCTCAGGGCAGGGAGGGCGGGGGCGAGAGGGGCGCACCGAGCACCAAGGGCCCCAGAGGGGCGCACACGGAGCCTAGACCATCAGGCCGGGCCAGGTACGGCGGCAGAGACCAGGGCTGGCGCGTTACCTCGGGGCCCGGCTGTCACCTCGGTGCCCTGGTCCACAGACCTGGTCCCTCACCTTCTTAGCTCAGCCAGCCAAGTCCAGGCGCGCTCACTCATTTCCTGCTTTCCGAAGAAAAAGGAAAATAAGACCAGTCTGGTGAATCACCTCCAATGACCACAGGAGACCTGGGTGAGCCAGGGGTGCCTCGGCGGTGAGCTCCTACTGGAAAAGGCTCAGGACCCCTTCACCCAGGAGCCAAACGTCAGGTCACGAAGAGCGGCTGGGTGAATCGAGAAGGTGCGCCAGCGCGACTCTTCCATGGGCTCCATCCACGAAGGACACAGTGCATTTGCTCATTGCGAAGCCCACACAAACTCAAGGCTGACCTCCTTCACCCGCCCAGAGCCGCAGGTGGACAGAGGCATAAACAGGGATGTGGATGTCTTTATCTGGCCACGTCTCACTCTGAGCTTAGCGAGGCTTCCCTCTGTGGCCGCCTCTTCTCCCTTTGTCCAGTCCCCATGTGGAACCTGGCAAGTGGAAGCCGCCCACCTGGGGGAGATGGTGGGTGGGTGCAGGAGGCCCTCTGGTACCATTTTGCTAATGTTTCTGGTATGCACACCCTGTGCCAGATGCTAGCGCTCTGCACCCAATTCTCACAGCAGCCCATTTCGCAGATGCTGAGAGGTCAGCTCACACAGCTGAGGCCCCAGAGTTGGTAAGCAGTACAGCTGGGATTTGAATGCTGGCATATGGTCAGTGAGCTTGACCAGTGTGCTCTGCTGCCTCTCGGGGCAAACCCAGAGTTAGACTCCACCAAGATGGGCCCCAGCGGGTGCCCAGGTAGTCATTGGGAACCTGGGGCGGTCGGGGGCCACCATCAGGACGTCCTTTCAGTGCTTTGAGCACATTCTTAGAAGGCCCTGGCTCTTCTGTCCTCCTGTCTGTAATCCTAATGCCATCGGATGAAATGGACCAGCGATGGCTGGCATTTATCCACCACTCAGGGTGTGCCAAGCCTGGTGCCAAGCTGGCATCATCCCACTCAAGCCTCACAACACATTGAAGCAGGGACTCTCGTGATGCCTATTTTGCCAATTAGGAAATAAAGATTTAGGGGGAGCGTGGGCTGCACAGAATCACGCAGCTAGGAAATAGCAGGGTCTGGATTTGAACCTAAGTGACGGAACCATTTCCATCCTGCCTGAGGAAGGCCCAGCCGACTGGGTTCCACTCATTTCCTGTTAACATCACAAAGCCGTGGATCCAAGTTTTCATGGACTTTAATTTCACAAGCCTTCTTTGACTCTTAAAAACCCACTTTCTTGGCCAGAGGCACCATTTAGGAGAGGGGAAGGGGGCATCCCAAAATGGGGCTGCCACATCACAGATTGGCGAGGTCTCTCCATGAAAGGTCTGGTCAGAGCCAACCTCCCCTCAGCCAGGACCAAGGGTTTGGTCCCTTTCCTTCTGGACCATGGCCCACCTCTGCCAGAGGATCCCTAGGTAGAATGGCCCACTCAAGCTGTGCTTCCGGAAAAGGGGAGCCTGCAGACACCAGCCCCTTCCAGGACAGAGATGCACAATGGGGCTCAGACTGCTGTGCCCCACGCCCCCCAGATGGGTGGCTGTTGTGTGTGACTTCAGGTAGGCAGTGTTCAGATCCATCATCAACTCTAAGACACCAAGTATAAAACATAAGATTGTATGTGCCACATACATACTAAATTATGCCAGGCTATGTGTGAAAAATATATAACTAAAATTGATGAAACACAATATCTGAATGTGTTACAATAAGAAATTGGTTAAAATATGATCCATTCATAATGAAAGTCTATGTCACTATTAAATGTGTAAAGAAAAGAGTAGTTGATAACAGGAAAAGATGCTCATATGATAAGTTTTTTAAAACAAATTGTAAAACTATTGTGGTTTTGAACAACCAGAAAATCTGTATGAAATATTTTGAAAATATGTTTGAAGACATCAGAGAGCTACCAAAACAGAGAAGACTTTCTCTAGGGGGCAAAGATCCCAGAAAGAGATTTCTTTTTCCCTTTGAGGTATTTGGTGATTACTATGATGTATCAGTCTGCTTGGGCCATCATAACAACATACCACAGACCGAGTGGCTTAAAGAACAGACATTTATTTTTTTCACAATTCTGGAGACTGGAAGTCCAAGATGAAGGTGCCAGCAGGGTTGGTTTCAGCCAAGGCCTCTCTCCTTGGCTTGTGGATGGTCACCGTCTCCCTGTGTCTTCACATGGCCTTTCCTCCATGTGTGTATGGAAAGAGAGGAAGGGGGAGACACACACTATGCAGCCCGTAATACATGCAGTGGACAAGAAGTTGAGACAGGTGGGGGAGATAATAATTGGGCATGGCCAACAGCACGATAAACTGGTAGGGGCGCTCTAATAAATAACCTAGACCTTGAGCTGGAGCTCTGAGCGCTGTGACAAAGGAGTGGGGCTGATGTCCTCACAGAGACTGAAAACCAGCATCCAGGCAGCTCACTTCCAAGCTAGACTAAGCTGCTCTGCTCTCCTTCCCATTGCCAGCCTGAAGCAGTCAGAACTCTCTGGAGGAAAGCAACATCATCCCGGGCCTCATGTTAACTAAAATAGCTTCATACACAATATACAGAATTGAATTAAAGTTTATAAAGGAAACCAGAAGACAAATGATCCAACACCAAGAAAAGTATATATATTTGTAATAAACCCACAGGAAAACAGGATATTGGCATTATCAGACACAGACTTTAAAGTAACTTTAAATATGTTCAAGGAAATATATTAGGAGATGAAATTTTTCAGCAGAGAAATGGAATCTATAAAAAAGAATCAAATATAAATTTGAAAACAAAAATCATTGAAATTATGAATTAGGTAGATGGGTTTAACAACAGATTAGACACAGTGGGAGAAATGATTATGAACTGGAAGATAAGTCAAAATATTCAAACAGAAGCAGAGAGAAAAAAAACGTATGGAAAATATAGTAAAAGGCCTAAAAGACATATGCAATATAATGGAAATGGCCAACATATTTGTAAAATGGAATTTCAGAAGGAGAAAAAAGATTAGTCCAGAAGCAATATTTGTAAGATAATAAAAAAGGATTTTTCAAAATTCACCAAAGATAACACACCACAGGTTAAAAAGAAACTACCAACCCAAATGAGAAATATAAAGGGACCCACACCTAAGTATATGATAGTAAGCCTGCTGAAAACCAGAGAATATCAGCCAGATATTTAAAGGAGAAACAAAAAGACTCACGTCGGACTTTGCAACAGAGACATTGAAGCCAAGTGACAATGGAATGACATCTACCAAATGCTGAGAGAAAATAACTACCTACATAGAGTTCTATATCAATTAAAATTTTGTATAAAAATAAAGGTAAAATATATTTCAGAAAAAGCAAATCATCTAGAATTCACTGCCAGAAAACATACGCTAATGGAAATACTAAGGGAATACCTTCTGGCAGAGGGAAATTGATCACAGACAGAAGCATGAAAATACAATAGGGAATGAAGAGGGAAGGAAACATGGAAATAAAACAGAAAGCATACATATGTAGGTAAATCTAAATGCATAACGACTCTGTAAAACAACAACAATGTCTTCTGGACATCCACCCACCCACCCACTCACCCATCTTCTATGCATCTATTACAGGGAATTGGCTGCCACAATCATGGGACTGTAAGTCCCATCGAGTCCCTGTAAGGCTCTCTCCCCATCTGATGCTGGGGCTTAAAGTCTACAGGGTGGGCAGACAGGAAGGGAGGGGCGTGAGCTGCAGGGCCTCTCAGCAGAGGCTGAGCCCCGTCGGCACTTTGTTGCCCCTGCCCTCTTCCACAAGTCGGTACTGCAGAAGCAGGGCCCTTCGCCATGGAGCTGACTGCTCGCTCCTGGCCTGCTGTTTGCTCAAGTAAGCAGGCAGAGTGGCTGCTGCCTCCTTTCTGTGCTCCAGAATCTCCCAGGAACCTGCCTGTGGCCCACCCCACTGGAAACACACAAGAAAGGAAATTCTGAGGTGTTTCCCACCAGCCACCTTGACACATTGGAAAGCTCACTCACCACCTCAGATGGCTTATGCCAATCTATTTGTTCATTATCTGTCTCAAGCCCCAGCACCAGCACCTGCCACGAGCTCAGAAAGCATTTGTGAAGTGGATGGGTGGGTGAATGGGTGGGTGCACGAATGGATGGATGATGTATAGATGGATAGATGATTAGATATATAATGGATGGATGGATGGATGGATGGATAGATGGATGGATGGTGGGGATGGATGGATGGATGGTGGTGGTAGTGGATGGATGGATGGTGGTAGTGGATGGATGGATGGTGGTAGTGTGTGGATGGATTGATGGATGGATGGATGGATGGATGGATGATGGTAGTGGATGGATGGATGGTGGTAGTGGGTGGATGGATGGATGGGTGGATGGATGGTGGGGATGGATGGATGGATGGATAGATAGATGAGTGGGGGGAAGTGGGTAGATGGATGGATGCATAGATGGATGGACAGACAGGTACCCTACTGGTTCTGCTTCTGTAGTTAAAGCCTGCTACATTAGGTGGCCAGAAGAACTGAACAATAGCTGTAAGTTAGGGAGCAGATCCTAGCAAAGGAGGGCTCTTCAGATAGTTGGCCAGGGAAAATGCACACACCTGAACAGAGGGAGGGAGCAGGGGCAGGAGCTGCTGGGATGCCTAAGAAGGTGCTCTAGGTAGCAAGCACAGCCGAGAGGGAGTGGTGTGCTGAAAGACAGGGAGATGCAGGTGGAGGCCAAGGGGCCTTCCAGATTGTGCAGGACATGAGTGGCTCCATCTTAAAGCTAACCCACCATCGTGCCATCTGGGTAAGCTCGGGCCCTCGATCCTCAGCCCTCTCCCCTTCCCTTGGCTATGCACACACAGCTCTGGGCCGGTCATAGGATTTCCCTTAGTTCTCTCTGGCGAGTGGCCCTCAGTGTTTTCTTAACTCTCTCCCTGTTAAACTGACCAACCCACAAGCTGGGCTTGTCTGCCCCTTTGTCCTCTCAGCTCCTTGGGCATTTGGGGACTGCTTTGCTACACAACCCTCTTCTGAAACAGGCCATCACGAGAACTAGGGACTATTTCTAAGTGCAGTGGGAGCCACGGGGGTTGTGTGGGTCCCCACAAAGTTTAAAGGGGTCCCTCAGGCCAGGGATGAGGAGAGGCTGCCGGGCAGGAGTGGCAGCAGAGAACAGTGGGGCCAGCCGTGCTGAATATCTGGGGAGGGGCAGAGGGTGGCAGCATGGATCTGGGGTTGGGGGGTGCGGGCAGGCCAGCCCATTGCTGCACTCTGCACACTGTGGGGCCTGGGTGACAGGGTCTGGCTTGTGCTGGCTGTGGTGAGAGGCCTGTAAGACACATGGGGTCAGGGAGAGGTGTGACGGAGGAGCATGGAGTCGGCCCCTGGGGACCTGGAGGAGACTGTCCAGGGAGTCGAGGAGGGTGAGGGCTGGCGCTGCCAGCAGCCCCCGCCCTCCCAGTGCCGGGCCTGTGGGCTCTGATTCTAGAACCCAGCACCATGTGTTTTCCGAGCACAGCCCTGAGCTCCCCATGTCCTCTGAAACAATCTCCTAATTCTGGTGTCTGGGCCCCTGGAATTGAGTCACCAATCCCAGCCCTTTGGCTGAGCACGCAGGCTTCTCTGCACTGGTCCCACCTCTCCAGACCAGTGTCCTGGGGGGCAGTCCACTTGGGGAGGGGCACGCCCTGACAACCCTCTTGGGAAATGGGCCCTGGGTCTCCTGAGCAAGTCATCCAACCTTGTGCTCCCACCCTGCGGTTCTGGCTCTAAGAAACCCTTCCCAAGGCTTCCGAGCCAGCTCAGGACAGTGCTGCCTCCTGCCAGGGCAGGGACCCCCCGCTCAGGTTCTGGGTGTCAATCATCCACCCCCTCCTGGTGGCAGCTGGTGCCCTGAAGCCTGCTCTACCAACAGTCACCTGGTAGCAGCAACCCTCTGTGGTGAGGGGTTAACTATCTATCTTCATGCCTGGTTAACCATCTTTATGTCTAGTTAACTATTCTTTATGCCTGGTTAACCATCTTTATGCCTGGTTAACTATCTTTATGTCTAGCTAACTATTCTTTATGCCTGGTTAACCATCTTTATGCCTGGCTATCTTTATGCCTGGTTAACTATCTTTATGTCTGGTTAACTATCTTTATGCCTGGCTAACAATTCTTCATGGGGGTTAACCTCCCTTTATACTGACAGAGTTAACTCTTCTTTTTGTCGAGCTGATGACTCTCCAGGTAGTGCTGTTCCTTGGCCGGGGCCCTGCTGGCACCTGAGTGGACACAGGGCAGCACCCCGCCGACTGCCCTTTGAACATAAGTCTCCAAGACCCTTTGAGTAACTGGAGGTAGCCCTCGCGATTTTGTAAAAATGCTGAAAAAGCAAACATGGCAGCGCTGTTAATTGGGATACAAAGTTAGAAATCATGCGGCACAAAGAAAATGCCACATCTTCACCCTCAGTCTGAGACACTTGATTCAACTTGGCCAAATGTGATCACCTGGGAAGTAGACGAGAAACACGTGCAAAACATGGGAACGTGAGGTTAAGCCCCGAGAGGGGCTTATTAGCGTCAAGAAGGGCAGGCCAGCGGCAGGGAGCCGTGGACAGGGCCGGGGCTCACAGCGACCCCTCAGCCGTCTCCAACCTCACTCTAAAAGCCCCATCGCAACCCCTGCTATCGAAGAAAATTGACTTTATTTTGTCGACTCAGTGCCTCTGTCCCTAAGTGTAAAGAACTAGAATTTGTAAAAGAAATTACTCAAGCACGTTATGTTGACTGTATTTGGTGATTTATCTGTCATTAGCAATTGTTTAGTATAGGCTTTAGAACAATCAGAGGTTTGCCCATGACTGCGGGTTGAATGGCACTGCTTAGCTCTGGGGAGAAAAGCCTTGTCAAGTCCAAGTCCGCTGAGCTGGCGCCCCTGGGGCTTCCCGGCGAGGTTGGGGTACACTGTGCAGGGAGGGACCTGCATTAGGGCCTCTGTAACCAGCATTATGGAGAAGTGGGTGCTGTGAGATGGAATCACCTCAAGTGAACGCAGTTTCCCAACTGCTGGACGTGTCCCAGATGTGGCCCTCGTGAGGCCGGCGGCTGCCTGGCCAGGAGCGCACTCCCAGGCACCATGCAGTGACCAGCTCCTGCCACTGGAACCTAGTGGAGGTGTCACTTCTCCACTGCAGGCACAGGACTCCGAAAACCCAGGGGACACCCAGCCACAAGACCACAGGGAGCAAAGCTGCCACCAACTGGGAATGTCCCCGAGCTGAGCCACCAGGGTGCTGCGGTCCGTCCAGGCGAGCAGCTGAGGGGAACAAGTCCAAGCAGCACACCAGCCACTTCTGCCCTTCTACGCTTGTGACACTCTGACTCAAAGGCCATTTGGGAGGCTGTGTCCCCAGCAGAAGGCATGGGACCAGGGACAAGGGGTGGCAACAGGCTACCTACCGGCTCACCCCCTACAACTCACTTGGGGCATCGGTGCCTCCTGTGCCCCGTCAGGCTCGACCAGATGTCTGTATTAGGGGGCACAGTATGGTCTCTATTCCCCAGATGTGGCTGATGCTGGGTCCTGTGGCTCCTCAAAGTGGACATGTGGCCAGAGAAAGCTCTGAAGTGGCAGCGCTGGCCAGGAGGCACGTGGGTTTCTTCTAAGTATCCAGGCACTCACGGGATGTATGCCGTGCCTCCTGGTAAGGAGCACTGAGAACGGCCACCGAATCAGCCACCGCTTGACCAGGGTGCGGTCCCCAGGGCCTGTGAGCTGCATGGCAGCACTGTGGGGAGCAGAGGGACCAGCAGGGGTGCTGTGGAGAGGAGAGGAGGCCTAGACAGGGCGGGGTGGGGGATGGGGAGCCTGGGGACCATCCACGTGGCAGGTCCAGGTGGGTCCCACCTTTTCCCATGATTTCTTAGGAACTGTGACTGCCACCATCTCACAGAAGCACCCACAGGATGGAGCCCAAGCTCCTGACACTCAGCTCCCCGGACATGACTTCAGCCACGGTGGTCCTAATGCTGTCAACGATGTCCCCATGCCAGTGTCCGCTCGCCATCCCCACCCACACCAAACACACCTGTGCACACGTGGGGCCCACGCTTCCCCTTGGGTTGCTTGAGAACCGCGGTCTCAGGGCGACTGACTTCCAGATGAGGTTTTGGCAAAACTGCATGGGGCCATTCACCTCCATACATCTTGCAAAGTGTCACAGATCCCTCCTAGTGAGGTGTCCCTCCCTGTGGGGGAAAATTTGGCAGATTCTACCAGCATTTTAAATAAGCACCATGGACACATTGATTCAGAATTCTACTTCCAGGAACTAACCCCACGGGCCACGCACACGTCACTCGCCATCCCACCCCTCAGAGCAGAAGCGTCACCATCCAACTTCCTAAATGAGTCCAAGGCTGATGTACGTTTCCCATGTGGACTGGACACCCTCTAATGACATGCTAGGTCCAAGGCCACCGTGACTGTGTCCAGGGGCGGAGACACCACCTCCCGCCTCCCCCATTCTAGATGTAGGCCTGTAACTTGAGACGTTCTAGAAGGAAGAAGGGAAGTGGATCTTTCGCTGTACTTTCACCTGGAGGTGGGTGAGGTGCAGCTGGGCTGTGCGGGGGGCAAACACTTCCCACGGGGCCGATGGTGCCAGCAGTCTGATGAGCACCTACAGACACTAACAGCTGAGCGAGTCCCAGAGTCCCAATGCCTGACTAATAACGGCTCAGCAGCAACTCAGAGGACGGAGGGTGGGAGGATGTCTGTCAACAGTTACGTGTTTCAAACAGGGGAGCCAAGGATGCAAAGCGCAGAGACAGAAGTGCTTTCTGCTGGGTTCCTGGAACCTGGTTCCAGCTAAGCAGAAGGACAGCACAGCTGGGCTGGGGCTGCCTGGGCAGGGTGGCAGGTGGCAGGACCTGGGGAGTGAGGCTGGGAGACCGCTCGCATCATGAGACGGGCACAAAGTCTGTCTTCATCTAGAGTGTCTGTCTCCCCTGCTTTCCAAGTGCCAGTGGTCCCTTATTCGTATGACGGTTCAGCTTACAATTTTTCGACTTTGCTATGGTGCGAAAGTGGTATGAAGTCAGCAGGTATGAAGTCACCATAGCGTGAATTTTGAATTCTGGTCCATTCCCAGGCTGGGGTATGCGGTATGATCCTGTCTCGTGATGCTGGGCAGTGGGTGAACCACAGCCCCACGTCAGCCTTGCGATTATGAGGGTGACAATGGGTCTTGACAGTGTCTCAGGCTAATGTTAAGTGTCCTAAGCGTGGATGCGGTGGGCGAGGCTGAGCTACGATGCTCGCAGGTTTGATCTATGAACTGCAGTTTTGACTTCCAATGGGTTTATCAGGACGTAACCCCATCGGCAGTGGAGGAGCATCTGTAATCATATCGACACCACTGAGAAATGAAACACAAGGAACAAAGTATATTCAGCGAAAGCATGTATTAAATCATTTACTGGAAACTGGTTAAAAATTAAGGCACTCCAAACTTCTGGCTTCCTTGAAGCTGTAAGTGTGGGCTGCTCTCAGTGCTCTATCAGAGAGCAGCACGTGGACCAGGCTGGCCCCCCGATGGCCCGGTGGGCTCTGGGTTCCGTGACAAGGTTACACACACTGTACTGAGCAACCCCAACTCTGCTCTCCGCACAGCAGCCCACACTGAGCAATCCACAGAACGTTTTAACTACTGCAGCAACATCAAGGCCATTAAATCTATTGTTATAAAGTTTCTTCTATGAATAAACAGCAGAAAGTGAAAATTCGCAGGCTGCTATAAAACACTCAGGAATGTTTCACAGCACTTGAAATTGCTGTCAAATGCCCAAGAAGTCAGAGAAATAAGACTAAAGGCTTTTTAAAGGTTAGTTTCGTAGTGTGTGTAGAAATGTTAACTCACAGCACAGACCTCTGCAGTTAAAGGCTCCTCAGGCTGCTGGCTGGTATCTCGCACGGCCCCGCACATGACTGTCTGACGCGTGGGGAGCAGGAATGTGAACATGGATGCGTGGCTTCTGCTACGTGCGCACTGACCTGCTTTCCCAAAGCTCAGTGTTTGCCAAATTCAAAGTCATCTGGCACAGGGACTATTTCCAGGCCTAAGACAAGCTGCTCCCTGGTACTTCCTCATCTGCTGCTGCCTAGCCATGTGCTAGTCCATCTACTGAAGCCATGCCTCTTCATCAGAAAGAAACAAAACCACCGTATATGGCGCCACAGGCCCCCTGGAGGCCACCAATGACGACCTTACAGAAGGTGCCTCTGAAGGACAGTCTGACGTCACACTAGGCCAAAGGGGCGCAGCTCAGGGCAGGACAATCAGCAGTGGCTCTGTGTGCTGTGGAGACCCCCGACCGCCCGGTGCAGAGCCTCCCCGAGGGGCTTCCCAGAGCATGGGGCTGGGGTTCGCACACTGCCTGCCGGCAGGGAGACGCTCCAAAATCCAGGAGAGCGTCCCCGAGGACAGGTGACTGCACACAGGACTGACACTGTTCCGGGAGCACAGGAGGGTTGTTTTAGAACTGCATTTGTAACTCAGGCTCTCACTGGAAAACAGTCTTCATGTTCTATTGGGTTGTCAGAAAAGTCATAATGCATTTTAGCAACAAAAAACATAGAAAAAAATACGTCATGACTTTTCCAACAACCCAATAGTAAAGGTACAAATTGAAAAATCATCCAATAAATGGTCTGAATTTGATAGTAAAGTTTTTTGGTGAAATCTTTTAGGTGGAGGAATAAAATCCAATAATTATTAAAAAAAAAAACCAAAACGGTTTCAGGTGAGTTTACTCGTCTGTACTTGGCACGGCAGCTGAGGTCAGAAGGCCGCTGACTCTGCACCCTGGACGTACAAAGCCGCCTGAACTGATGCCCGGAAGTGCCCGCCTGTGGTTTTAGGGGAATGACGAGGGACTGGTCGATCCCAGCGTACAAGGAAAGACAACTGTCCTTCGCTGCATGAAGCTGAGGGTGGGGCCAGGAACAGACTCACGAAGGACGAGTGGCTGGGGGCTGGGCTGTGCGGCTAGTTAGCTCACAGGCCAGTGGAATGTGCAGTTTCCTCCTCAAAGTCACAATGAAAACAAAAAGCAAACCCCGATAGGCTTAACATCTCAAGTGATGAAACAGAAACAGAAAAGGGGACAGAGCTCACAGGAGGAGGCAGGCCTGCCCCCAGGGCAGCCCCCACCGGCTCACTTCAAGGTCAAAAGAGGGCGGCCTTGGGCTGCTTGCCCGGTGGAGTGCAGTTTAGTTGTTCTCGAATCTGGCATATGGGTTTTCTTCTTTAAACAAACCTGAAAACAAAATGGACTTGGTTACAAATGCACACATCCGACAAGAAACAAAATCCAAGAAAGCAATACAATTGAGTTTTATATGAAGATTCCATGAGGCCATAAGAAAAACAGGTGTTCTAAGCAGGTTCAAACACTCCGCTAGACCTTTTCTGCAAGTCACACCACAGGGAACTTTAAAATTAAAATAAAATTTATCAAAAGCAATAATTTTAAGAAAGCAGATCCTAAGAAGTAAAGACTTATTTGTTGATTCTCTCAAGGAGAAATTAAGACATTTAAAGCCGGTATCTCTTCCCACAGTGGTTGGGTAATATTACACAGAAAACAAAACAAAACCATCTTACTTTAAATGTCCTTATTTATAAATGTTGATTAACTTTTAGAATTAAGTATACAAAATGAACTAAGGCCACCATCAACTTAACTGTCAAGTATTAGGACATAACCACAGTAAAATGTGTATTTAACCATAAAAACAAGGACCTGAAGACGAGGCGAGTTCTCGTCACAGGGACATATACTCCCCACCCCCCAAGAGCCTGCAGCAGCCTGTCCGCCTATCGCAGGGTTTTGTTTTTTTTAGGGTTGGGGTGGGGAGAAGATAAGAAAGGGGGAGAGGAGGCGGAGGGTGCAGCAGGAGGATGGGGCCTCCGACTTGGGGAGAGCACACACACTCGGTGAAGAGCCGGCTCAGCCCAGGACGCAGCAGTCAAGGTCACGTTGAGAAAATGCAACAGCTCCCAGCTCTACTTCCAGTTCAGAGGGGAGAAGGGTGAACGGCTTTGTGATGAGGAAAGCAGGCCCCTCGTAAAACCAAGAGAAGGCTTTCGTGCTGGTGTTGTGCTGACTGGCCCATGGCACTCGCGTGCCACCCCCTCGTCCCTGGGGACCCCCAGGGCTTCGTCCCTTCCTCCGTGCAGTAGGGCTTTCTGACATCCAGGCTATTCGATGGGCCTCACGCAAACTGGCAGCACACAAGTTAATGTCATCAGTGTAAGGAAAGGCCAGTTAACCACGGAAACAGTAGGGACATCGGTGCCCGTCCCAGCAAGTGCGCCCTCGGCTGAGAGCCCTGGCCTCAGGCCCTGCCCCCCGAGAGCAGGGGCACAGCCGCGTCCCAGTGCTTGGCACTGGAAAGCACTGCCGTGTGCGCCCGCACACGTTCACCTTGTCTTATGTCTACATTCATGTTAATCAGATGCCAGAAAGCTCCTCTGGAGGCGTCTCACTTTCATGGAAAACCAAGCTGCCCCAGCCAAGGGGGGCGCGGGCGAGCACTGGGTGCCCGGGGAGGTTACAGGACAGGGGGCTGCACCACAGGCGAGCCCCCACCACCCACACCAGAGAAGGGCCTGACACTGGGGTTCGTGCTGCGGGCGGGAAGAGCATCGAGGCCGGGGCTGAGGACAGGAGGAGCAGCTGGGGCTCACAGGGCCCCGAAGGCCCGCGCAGCAGGGGCAGCAGCCTTGGGCCCCAGACCCAACACGTGGAGGCCGCCAGGGTCAACCCCACCCTGAGGCCTCGCGGGGTACACGGCACACACTCGTGACCCTCAGAGGCCTGTACAGGCGGCGAGAAGGACGGCCGCCAGCGGGCCGTGCACAGCCCAGGGCACCAGCAGCCCTGTCAGGGAACTGAGCCTTCCGTCGGAATTTACTGTTTCAGTGGGGAGGAGCCTACACCACCACTGGAACACGGTGTTTCTTTACACACACGGAGGACTTCAAGTGCACGGTCCGAGAACACTCTGAAGTGTTCCTGGTCGGGTTAGGATTTAGCACAGCAGCCTGGTTCACTTAGCGGGGGCACAGGGTCGAGGGAGGCACGGCACAGCGGCTCAGGGCTGGAGGCCCCAGGGCTTCCGTCGGACAGGCCAAAGGAGTACACTTCTATCATTTCCCACAATACTGAGCGATCACTGAGCAGGGGAAGAAAACGCTAATGCCATCCCTGGGTTTGAATATCAGTACAGAAGCAGCTAAACACAGGAGCAAACTTGGTGCTGTCAAACACTCAAAAACAGTCACTCCCTAGACCTCCGAACGAAACCAAAACAAAACCAGGACAAAACACCCAGCAAACAGGAAAAGCGACAGCATAGCCTCAGTTTTGGCTGCTCCTTAAAAGGGCACAGCTACAACCCTGAGGTCGGAGTGACAGTGACATACCCCCAGACGGGGACCAGAGACCTCGTCTCGCAGTTCCACGGCACAGCCCACTATAAAGCAGACAGGGTGACAACAGGAAAGGGCCCACAGTGGACCGCTGTGACGCCTTGTGCTTCCTAAGTAAACAAGTGTCCCTGGAGGGACTTGGCTGAGAAAACTTGTTCCGAGGCTCGTCTCCAAGGCCTCCGGAGGGATCAGTTCACAGCAGCCCCTCTTGGAAAAAGCTCCTCCCAGAAGCGACACACTTCTGTCCCGACGAGCTCACAGCTCAACCTCTGGGGCGCTAACAATGACCACGACGGCTTGGCATCAGCTCCTCACCAAACGAAAGGGAGAGTCAAACGGTTCTTACCATATTTTTTCCTGATTTCATCATGTCTTGACTTCATCTCTGCTCTCCTAAAAAACCAAGAAATCTCGTTTAGCACCAAAATACAGTTTAATTTTAAAAGCAGCACCTTTCATTTCTTTAGCAGAGAAGCTGTGGGTTTGTTCTGGTTCCCCGGAACGAGGCAGGGTGGGGACGAGCTCGGCCATCGGGCCACACTGGAACGGGGACAGGCAGGGTGACGCTGAGCACGGTTTTCTCAGCTGCCCCAACACTGTGTCATTCAATTCTTTATTTCAATAACAGCAATTCAAATGGCCGATGCCATGAGTTTTTAGAAGTTCTTTTCTCACATAAAGAAAATGTACTGATCAGTAAAATTCTTGTGCTAGGTTCTACAGATGGTTAGGAACATGAAAATGCTAGCTTTTTTCTAGGGGCACATGACTTCAGGGTGACGGCATGGAAACCCGTCCAGCCTCAGGAATCACCAGCTGCTGTCTTGACAAGTCAGCACCTCCCTGAGCCACACCCTGTCCCTTCTCAGGGAGGGACAGTGACCAAGGGCCATCCTATGGCCACGTCACACACCCGCTGAAGTGCTCTGTAACCAGGAAGTGCTGTTTATCAGCTTTGATGGCACAAGAGACCCAATTTGGCCACAGGCAGACAAGTGACCTGAGCAAATGCGTTCCTCTGTCTCTGAGCCCCCGTTTGCTCATCATAAATGAAGGCTGGACAAACTGCCACTGCAGCATCAAGAACCCACAGCCACGACCCTGGCTTCACTGACTGGAGGAAACAGACACAGGGCGGCAGGCCTTTGAAGAAGGGCGGTGGCCCCTGGCCAGGTGCCCGCCCCAGCTCCCCGCTCTGCACCACAGCCACCTCCCACTGCCCCCAGACCTGAGTGCCTCGGAAGGGCGCCCCCGAGAGGGCGCGTCTGCGGCCTCACCTCTCTTCCTGTCGCACCCTCCTTTCTTCTTGCTCCCTCATGGCCTTCTCCTCGCTTCTGTCTGGCTTCCGGTTCCTGTTCTTCCTCCTGCAGCAGCAGCAGCAGCAGGTGACAACCGCCAGGAGGAGGGCGCCCCCGATCACCGACATGGTAATAATCAGTGCCTCGAAGTTCACTGCAGACACCAAGGGTCAGAGCTAAGTCAGGAGCCGCCTGCCGGGAGCAGCCCCCGACCCCCAATCTCAGAGCAGCCGGCACCCCGACAGTGTTGATTAACCACGGGCAAGGTCACGGGGAGCTAGCTCTTCCCACCACCAGATACTGAAAAGATGTGTCAAGCCCAAGAGAAGTGACAAAACCAGAAAGTCTCCTGAAACACTTTAAGTGTTAACTTTGTGGAACTCATGGAAACGACAGTTAAGCTTGAGGTGGCTTATTCGGTTATTTAAGTCAAAGCGGAGAGCGTTCCATTTACTTCCCACAGAAACTAACTGGCCATGGCAAGCCGAATGGGACCATGGATGCGCAGTGTGGACACGGCCACCCAATCGGCATCAAATGAGAATATGACTTCCTGTCTAGACCAAACTCCAGAGACAAGTACAAACTCAAGACAGGCTCTCCAATTCTTCTCAGCTCCTGTTAAGGATTTGTAAATTAAAACCAGTCAATCTCGGGCCGGCCGAGTGGCGCGTTAGTTAAGAGCTGGCTTGGGACGCCAGAGGACCCCGGTTCGGATCCCACATATGAAGGCCAGTGACACTGCCCTCTGCAGCTAAGATGCTGAACAACAGCTCAACCTGGAGCTGGGCTGCCGTGAGTCGCTGGTGACTGCGTAGGCTGCAGTCCCTGTGGCAGTGGGTTGCCATGGGCTACCGTGTGTAGCCAGCAGCCGCCCGTAAGCGGCCATCCAGACGCCGGTGACTAATGTGCCTCGCCCGGGAAGAACACAATGATGGTGGCAACTTGGGCTAGTGAAGCAACGTCCTCCACAACTAGACTGAAGAACAAAAGGAAAGCAACTTGTCTGTTCCCTTCCCCCAATTCCCCAGCGCTGTTCCAATTCCCCAATAAAAACCTTTAAAAACATAAATAAATAAAAAATAAAATAAAATAAAATCTTTCTCCCCCCAAATAGCTTTCCTAATTAACAGCTAAAACCAGTTACAAATAAGAACAGAAATCCCGTCATAAAAGGAAAGAAAGCTGGGCTCCTTTTCCAGTTAGCCCCACACAGCGACTGTGGCACTAAGGATGGAGGGGTGCCCGATGAAGGCAGTGCCACCTGCTTCTGGACAAAGGTTCAGAACGGTAAGGACCTCACTGCTCTCCAGATACACATATATAGGTAAGGTCTCCCACTGACCCCATAACAGTTTTGCCCACACTGGGTAAAATGACTAAATTGTAAGGATGAAAAGCAGGTACGGGAACAGGCCTACATTTGGTGTCCAGTGCGCCCCGACATCTGCTGAAGCCAGGAGGGCCTCTAATGGCCCGACCACAAATCCCCCTCCCCACCTGCTCCCACGGGGAAGGCGCTGGCCAAGCCACCGTCCTCACTGTGGGGACCAGGCGCAGTCCCTGCTTATCCCTGGGGGGCAGGCGCCAGCCCGTGGCATTGCTTCAATGATCACATCTTCCCTCAGGACCTCGACACTGCACCTTCGTTACAGCCAAGCCTACTCCCACAGCCCATGGCCTGGTCCTGTGTCCCCCTCCCAGGGCTGTGGCTACACATGACAAATAAACTGCTGTGGATCTCATCTGTCCAGTATCCCCACCCGGCTCCACAGAGGGCAGGGAGGCCCAGCAAGGCGCTTCTGTATGAGGGCAGCAGAGACCATGCCAGCTGAGCCCGCATGACGAGTGCGTGTGCGTGCACACACCCGTGTATGCCCACGCACCTGGCAACCCACAACTACACACACTGTGGGTCCCTGGGGCCGTGACACTGGAAATGAGCATTTCTGATGGAAGCTGACGGAGTCTAAGATGGAAATCAATTAGATAAGGAGTAAACTGCAGGCAGATCCAAGACGCACACACACGAGCTGAAGCAGCGAAGAGCCCCAAGAAAACACTGGTTCCTTTAGTCGCTTAAGGCGACCTTTGGGGCCAGCTGAGTGGCTCAGTTGGTTAAGAGTGCAAACTCTGAGCAACAGGGCCGCCAGTTCGATTCCCACATGGGCCAGTGAGCTGCCAACAGGTGGCCGGATGGCTCAGCTGGTGAGAGCACGTGTTCCTAACAACAAGGTTGCCAGTTCAACTCCCGCTTGGGATGGTGGGCTGCGTTCCCCGCAACTAAGATTGAACTCGGCACCTTGAGCTGAGCGGCCATGAGCTGCCGACGGGTGGCCGATGGCGACTGGACTTGGAGCTGAGCTAGCTGCGCCCTCCAAAACTAAGATTGAAGGACAACAACTTGGCTGTTCCCCTCCCCCAATTCCCCAATAAGATATTAAAAAAAAAAGAGAAGACGACCTCTGCACAACCCCAAACTGGAAGCCACATAAAAAAGGACTGATAAACCCGACTATGTAAAAACGGGATCCATGTAGCAACACACCGCAAGTGAGTGTAAAAGACAAACCAGGAGCCAGCTTGATCTCAGAAAGGGCCACCTTCCTGAGGAAAGAACACCGATAACACCAAGCACACACAAAGGGACCAAGAAAAGGCAGGCACGTGCCCACCCTGACGGAGACTCCTTGCGGGAAGTCGGAGCCGCTGCAGACAGCGCGAGGAATCACAGTGACACGCGAACACCACCGACACGGGGGGTGCGGGGATGTCCAGCGGCAGCCCTCCACTCACCCTCCCCAGCCGCCGGGACTGGAGAGGCCCAGTGCGCGGCCAAGGCGGCCGGCTGGCTGGGCTCCAGATTTCCCGGGACCCTGGTGGCTTTCCCAGACCCCCGACTTCCTGTGGGGAGCATCACACAACTACTGGAGCAGCGGTTCTCCACCTTTCACAGAGGTCGCCTAAGACCATCGGAAAACACATATTTTCGATGGTCTTAGGAACCGAGACACCGCTCCTCTATCCGTCTCCAGGCCCACATGCAGATACGCCCACATACAAGTACCCGGCGACCCCTGTGAAAGGGTTGTTCGACCCCCAAAGGGGTCATGACCCACAGGTTGAGAACCGCTGTACTGGAGTGTGTCTCCTGGCAGCTTAGGCTAACTGGGCATCACCAGAATTCTCAAGTTGGCATTGATTCTGCAAGAAGCCATTGAAAATGAGGACTTACCCCAGCACACGCCCCATCGTGCAGAGCTCAGCTTACACAGAGAAGCAGGAGGCAGGATTTTGGTCACTGGGTAATCCAGGCACCTGTTATCGGTGTTGCACCAAAGACACTGAAAGAGATGGACATTGGGTGAGCGCTGGAACTCCAAGGAAAACACACAGAACCAGACCGTTGAGGACTCGACCCCACACCATCTCTACCGCCACCCACTTGTCCGCTCACTCTAGGGATGATAGTGGCCCCGGCCCCCACCCCAACACAGCACTCAACATCTCCCGCCCACCACGGCCAGTGTTACTCAGGCCTCTTCCATTAGGCGCCGTGCACGCCCACGCAGCCTCCATGCTGGTCCTAAAAGATGCCAGCTGGCTCCCTGCACAGGGCCTTTGCACCATTTGCTTCAGAGCCTGGAACGTTCCTCCCCCAAACATAGGTGTCTCCCTAACCCCCTCCAGGAGGCCGACCCCGAGCAAAAGAAACTGCTCCCCACCCTGTTGCCTTCCGCAATGCCGCCTCCCGACACACCCAGGCGTCCATCAGCCTGTCTGCAGAAGGGCAGGCATCTGTGTGACACTGACCGAGCCTGGCCCATGGCAGGAGCTCACTAAGCACTCCGTGGTGGCCTGGGTGAGCAGCATCACCTCCGGCCGTCCGAAAGACGATGCAAGCGAGCTCAAAGGGGCCTGTCGGGGCTCAGGGCTGGGACCTCGCAGTGCTCGAGTCAGGGAGGCGGCCCAGGGCAGGACGGGCAGCGATGGGGAGCCCAGACTGGCACTCAGGCTGCAGCGCCTGCCCGCACAGGTCAGGACTGGGCTCGTTAGTTTATACCTTGAAGGAACACTTTTCCTTGCAGTTTTTAATGAGATGGAAAGTCATGGTGTTTTTCTGTCCCAGGTCAGGGTGAATGTCTATTATGAAAACAGTACGAGGCCTGGGCTTCCCCAGGCCTATTTACGTAGTGTCCACGTTAGTGTGCTGTGTTTACAATGGTTCAGAGCGCACTTAACCAACAGCAATAAAACCCTTTTAGTCTGGCTGTTGGAGACTATCGTGCATTTTAGTGGTTTTGTCCTGGCTTAACAATTTTTGGTAAATCCTCCATTTTCAAACAGCTCAAGTTTTAAATGCCTGATGTTCTGGTTTTCTGCAACCATTGCCCACAGCCACGGAGCTCTCTAGGAGGCTGAGTGTGCCTCTGTGCTGGTGCTATGGGTGGTCTGTTAGATTAATGGAGTCATATGCACATGCCGAACAATTCAAGCGACACCAACAGGACACACAGCCTGCCCCCCGGCCTCCCTTCCAGCCTGCTCAGGCTCCTATCAGGCCTCCCAGCACCGCACACCCTTCCAGAAACTTCTGTTCATCCCCGGATTTGTAGGCGCGGCCTATCCCTCACTTTCATCCATACGCATGTGCATCCTGTGCACCCTGAGTTTCTGACCAGACCTGTCTGGGTTCAGAGTGGGGGATCAGGCCTTCAGGGGAAGTGCTCACCCCACTGTGATCTGGGCACGTCCCTCACGGGAGGCGAGGGTTACACAGGACAATGTCAACAGGGCTCTAGGAACTGAAAGTCACGTGGACCCTGGGCCACTTTTATGGACGAAATGACTTCCAACGGAAAAACCCACACATTGAAAAGAAGCATCAAGAAAATGCCACTGTGAGGACCAGGGCCACATGGGGACCTGAGCTACCTGAGGACCTGGGCCAAGAGAGGACCAGGGCCACCTGAGGATGTGGGCCACCTGATGATCAGAGCCACGTGGGGACCAGGGCCACCTGAGCCAGGTCAGTGTTGTCATGGTAATACCTGAAATGACAAGACGAGCTCCTTTCCAGTTTCATCAGCAAAAGCATGACCCACAAGGTGTGTCTGGGACCCACGACACTGCCACATGGGTACAAATGCTTTTTAAAAACATGGCAGCGTCTTATGGCAGAAGTCGTCTGATGCATCTTTCCTGACGTGCCTCGTGTCGTGAAACCCAGAAGACCCGACTGGAGGGGGGGGCCTCCCCCAGAACCCCGGGCCAAGGCCTGTTGCCTTACAGCCAATCCCACGACCACCCCCTTTGCATTAGCCTCATACCCTGTAGTCGAGAGAGTGTCTCGGAAAACTGAGGCCGGATGGAATGATATCTGTAAAGCTCTCTCGGGGGACGTCTTGGAAAACTGAGACCTGATGGAATGATATCAGTTGTCTCCCCTGGGAGGACATGTAACAGAATGTCCTGGGACTGTGCAGTGATGTACGAAGGCATAGCATTTGTTGGAGTACAAAGGGGTTTAGGTAATGGGAACAAGCCTTAAGGCACCCACGTATACACGGTTAATGATTCACCGTTCTGCAGTTTTGCTTCTTTTGAAGATTCTCAATAAAAGCCAAGCATTGACCTGATTCTGGGCTCAGTCTTTCTTAGGCTGAGTCCCTTGGTCTTGCTCTCAAATCTGACTTCTGTCTCTTGATCTTATTCAATCTGCGTCGCCCCTCTCGTGTCCCATTTGCCCTTGCCACGCAGGCCGTGACAAAGGCCCTGCAGAGTTTTTCTCCCAGCCACCCCCAGCACGGGCCGGCTTCCCTCGGGCTCCCAGGGCAGCGCTGTGCAGAAACGGGTGCCACTCGCAGCTGCAGGGCTGCCAAGAGGCGTGGCAGGAGGACCCTAACAAACAGCGCTGTGCCCACGAGTCCTGTGACAAGCTCTATACGGTGGCAAGTTCCCCAGCGTCACTCTCTACTTCTCCCTGAGGGCCAGCTGCACACGTCCACGTTAGATCCCAGGACGGCACCCCCCCTCCTTCGGGGGGGGGGGGGTGTGACTGTGGGCACTCCCGCTGCGTCTCCAGGCCGGGGTCACAGCCCATCCCCAGCAGGCCTCTAAGGTCTAACGACACCAACATGAGGCCCTGGGCACAGGTTACCCGTCAGCAGTTAGAGGCGCTCCTGCAGGCCCGCAACGCACCCCCTGGGCTGTACTGCTCACCGGCGCCCCGCCCGCACCTTGGGGAGCCCGGTGCACACCTTCACAGGCTACACCTGTCTCAGAAGCTAGTATGCACGCTGGCAGTGCTCAGGTGGCACCTGCAGGCTTCGTGGACGGCTCGATGTGCCTCAGGAAGGCTAAGACAACACTCAGTCCCACCACGAAACACCCCCAGCAGCAGAGCCCCAAACACACGAGCGACCCTCAGGTTACAGAACTGGGTCTGCTTCCGGGCCGTGTGCTGGCCCCCGTGCTACTTACAGAGACGTTTTTCAGGCACTCTTCACAGGTTCTGTTTGTGTTCTGAGAACAAGCTGTGGGGAAAAGAAGAAACGTCACTGAGTGGCCGGGGGGATCAGCCAGGAGGGTGGGGGTCCTCTGTGGGCGCCACGCTTCCAAGGACAGCAGGGCACTGAGGCGGCCCGGGAGCAGCACACTCGGTCCTGCCCACGGGAGTCTTCCCGGAAAGGTGGCTCAGCAAACCCTCAGAGGAGAACCACAGGGGTGGGACCACGGCCCACTAGCCGGCTGAGGCCACCGGCTCAGCAGCGGACACCATGTTTGGAACCAAAGGCCACAGCAATGCCAAGCCCAGGTGAGTAAAAGCCAGGCTCCAGCGCCCTGGCAGCTCCCCACAAACAGGCATATGCCCCCAGCACCCACGGGAGAAGCCAGCTCCAACCCTGCAAAGCCCGGGGCCTCCAGCAGGCGGTCAAACCCACACCGACGGCTGCCCTGGAGAAGCTGACCAACAGGCAGCGCGCGGGGCCGAATCAAGCATTTCCAGCACGCTGCCAAGCAGCTGCTCTCCACCCGCCCACTCTGTAAGACACACATTGAAAAGGTTCTGTGCACAAACCCGGTGCTCACCAGGAACTGCAAGTAAAAGTCCCAGTGAGACTCACTCCACACTACCCAGAATGGCTACCATTAAAAGGAGTGACAGTCCTGAACACTGCCGAGGCTGTGGGGTGGCTGGAACCCTCGGACAGTGTCAGGGGAGTGCCCAATGGTCCCCACTTGAGAAAAGGTCTGGCACTCAGCAATTGCACTCTTAGGTACCTTACCCCAGAAAAACTAGAACATACATCCACAGGAAGACTCGTACAGGCGTGTTCGTAGCCGATTTATAATAATGCCAAAAGCCGCCAACAGCCCAGGCTGTCCATGTACAGAAGGATGGACAAACTGGCACGTCATACAATGGGACACTTCAGCCATCAAAAGCAGTGCACTACATACGTAAGACATGGGCAACCTGTAAAGTGTCAACAGAGCCACCTGAAAACAGAGCGGGGCTGCTGTCCCAGAGGAGCCGCTCGCCTGGCCCGTCTCGCTCCTCAAACCTTGAAAAGTTAAAACAGAGCAAAACCACCTCTGACCTGGGCCTCGGGCAGCCTGTGTCCCCAAGAGCTGTTTGCAAGGGGAACAGGAGAGCCGCCATGATGGCTCCGGGACTGGACATTAAAGACACTCTTACACCCAGCATCACGGTGCTGTCACCTGCACTTGGAGCGGCCTTCCTCCTACGGATGGAACTGTCCCCCTGCCCTTCTCATCTACACCCCTGGCCTTTGTCTCCTCCTCGGGACGCCGTGGGCTCTGCCTGCACCACGCTGCCCGAACAGCTGTTCCTCCTGGTCTCAGTAAAGGCCGACACCTCTCACTTTGGAAGGCCTTGGCCTGGACTTTCAGGGGAGCGGGTCTCGTCAGGCCCACTCAGGATTCCTGCACGTCAGCGCATTACAGCTTCTCTCAGGAAAAGCTGCAGTCAACGACACATGGAGCGAAGTGCTAGGGACAGAGCACGGCATGTGTGCGTTCAAAGCGCACTCACGGAGGGGTCGGTCCAGTGGACTCCTGGACGGGTGAGCTCTGGCCAAATGCGGAGAATAGGACGCAAGTGTCAGATGCACGAGTGTTCACTACACCATTCTCCCAACTCCTCTGTGTGTTTGAAGACTTTCATAATAAAACACAGGGAAAAGAGCTTGAGCTTCAAGTTACAATTACAACCTTTACTCACTGAATTTGCCAAGTGCAGCTCACTCTGAAACGGCTGTTTCCTCTATTCAGTCTATTTCTTCTAAATTCTATTCCTCCAAATAAAACCCCATTTTATCTGACATGAAATGAGAAAGCCCACTCTGTTGTATATTATGCTGTATTGTTATATTACTGAGTAATACTCTTCAGCATCTCCAATAGTGTGCTGTTAGGTTTACGTTGAAGCTTATTTTAAGTACTCAGGACAACAGATTTTATTCAGCCCCAGGAGGTACAGAAAACTGACAAGCCCTGAAATGCCTCGGTTTGTCAAAGCACTGCTGAGAGGCAGGGTGACAGTGGCACTCTGCCATTTCAGAGGCCCTGGTGCTCTGGCACCGTGGGAGACGGGACAGGCAACAGGGGAAGGTGCGGCGAAGACCCCGTGGTGTTGGGTGATGACGTCTGTTCGCCACGGGCCCAGAAAGGCCGACACCCGGTAGCGGGGGCATGTGTGGGCCGGGCCTTGGTTTCTAGACACTGTTTCCCCGTCAAAGGAACCAGGGCTCCGAGGGCAGACAGCAGATTCCAGAGCTGGGGCAGGGAAAAGACAAGACCAGCCTGGGCAGCTTGCTGTGCCGGCAAGTGGCACAAACTGATGGGTAAATGGTAAACGGACCCAGACGCCAGCTTGGAGGGGGTCCTCCCTGTCAAACTGGGACCGTTCAAACACCAAAGTGAATGACAGTAACGGACACTGCCTCTTGACAAGTCCATGATTTCGTACTGACGTGACACAGATACAGAGAAAGCAACCAGCAAAGGCACAAGTTTTCACTGCAACATCACAGTAAACAGGGGCGCCAAACCACTGTGCCCAGTTTAATCGTCACTTAGGACAAGAAAACGGCACATGAAAAGGGATCAAATATCACCAGGGTAACCTGTGACCACATGACAAAGTGACAGCAGGTGCCTCCTGGGGTGAGGAGGACAGTCACCGAGCAGTTGATGGAATCAGAGGAAACCAGAGACCCAACTGAGGGTCCTTCCACAAAGCGGCTCTCTGAAAACACAGGTGGCTGAGGAGCTGGTCAGAGGAACGCAGGTTAAGGACATCGTCCCTCAGGCCCCGCAGGAGCCTGCGTGGGGACAGGATGGGGGACAGAGGGCCTACTGGGATGGCTGGTAAACTGTGCACAGGACCATCTGTTAGACTGACTGTTCAGGTCTCACATGTCACTGCTAACTGTTCAGATCTGGGTCGTCAAGTGCCTGTCATGTGAAAGAAGTCCTCGTTCTCAGGAGAGAACCTTGAGAATTTAGGGGGGAAGGGCCGCATCACAACTTGCTGTCAAACGGTCTGGTCACACCAGTAACAAGAAGACCGGGCAAAGCCAACGCGGCTGACCCACGGGGCCTGAGAACGACGCAGCTCACTGGTTGTGGCTTCACCTTCGCGGCGGCAGGGCCTGGGGACACCTGCCCCGCTGCCCCTAAGGGGGCCACAGCGAGCGAGGGTGATGCGGTACCGGGGCTTTTTCACAGACTTTGTTCTTAAAGTCTTCTTGATAACTGGCCTTCCTTCCGTGAACCAAAAGAACTAAGCTCCAAAGTACATACCCTACGCCTCGTCCGCACGCAGGGCCTCTGACTACCGGCCAGTGTGAGTCAATGAAGAGGCATGGGAGGTGAGGGCCTGGACACTGCCCAGCCGCCCTCCTGCACCCTGCGCGCACGCACGGGGCCAGAAGGCGGCAGGTTTCCAGCACAGGGAGAAACAAGCTCCGAGCCGGGAAGGGCATTCTGCTTGCATCGTCTCGCACAGCAGCAAAGAACAAGGCGTGCGCCATCTGCTACTTCAGAGACGGGGCTTCCTTCCCTCATCTCAGCACAGGGCGCAGAAAACCATGTGCGCACGGCCAGAGGAAGCACAAAAGCGCCCTGTGTGTCTGTCTTACGGCTGATGCTGAGCGGGAGTATCCTGACTTCTTTAGTCCGATGACAGAGTCTTCAACTAAGACTCTACTTATCAACAATTAGAGAACTTTAAGTCTCACTCACTTTGGAAATTAAAAGACGAGAGAGACAGAAAGAGAGAGAGAGAGAGAGAGAGAGAGAGAGAGAGAGAGAGAGAGAGAGAGAGAGATAGAGAGAAAGGAAGA